CCTCGGCCCTCAGCCCCGCGCGCCGCCTGCCCTCCGGCGGCAGCGACCCCGGGCCCCCGGGCCAGGGCCAGACCGGCAGCAGTACGTAGGCTCCGCGCTCTGCTCGGCCTGCTGCGGGCGTGGGTGGTACGGGGAAGCTCCCGGCCGCGCTTGGGGGCAGAAGTTCTGGGCCTGAGTGCTGGAGCCTTAGTGGTCTGCTTCCCCCCAGGGCTTGTCGGGGCTGGCGGTACAGGCTAGGTGTTCCAGACAAGCAGAGCAAAGGTTTTTTGGAAGCTGGGCTTCAGGCTTGCTAGGAGATGTGGGGCTGGAGCCAGGTCGAGAGCTGGGCACTTGGCATCACTCCATTTTAGTCTAGAGAAGAGGGGACTTCATAGCAGCTTTCAACTACGTGAAGGGGGGTTGGAAAGAGGCTGGAGCTGAACTGTTCTCAGTGGTGACAGAATGAGGAGAAATGGTCTCAAGTTGCAGCAAGGGAAGTTTAGGTTGGATATTAGGAACTTTCTCACTAGGTGGGTAGTAAACACTGGAACAGGTTACCCAGAGAGTTGGTGGATGCTCCATCCTTGGAGGTTTTCCAAACCTGGCTAGATAAAGCTGTGTTGGATGCAGGGGTTGGATTAGATGACTCCTGAGGTCCCTTCCAACCCTAATTTTCTATGAGTCTATGAAATGCATGGATAGAGATACCAGGAAAGGGAGATCTCTGTTGCTTTTGGACTGGCAGCTCTGGCTTCTTGCTACTTCCTCGTGAAGAAACTTGGTCCATGCCACACCAGGGATGGAGGTTATATTTTCTCAGCTTGGACTTGAATGGCCACTCAGGCTTCTTCCCCATGGGGTTACCTCAACCACTGCCTGCTGACAAATACACTCTTCTCACAAAAAGAAGCCTCTGTCTCACATGTGTGGTGGCAGATAAACTCCCACATGTGCAAATGTGCCTCAGTACAGGAGCTCCACAGTCTGTAGGCAGTAGCTCTGCTGCTGCATGTGGCTCTTAAACTAAGGAAAATAAATGTGTTCACTTTTTGCTACTGCTGTTCAGGACCCTTGCAGACAGCCAGGCTTTAGCATTCTTGAGCATCACATCAACCTGGGGCAGATGCTCCAGGTTGGCAAAACTGAGCAGCAGGCAATGAAGTTGCTTACGTGGAGAAGTGAAGTTTGGGAAGGATCAAGTGGGATGTTTTCACCTCCTTCAGAATGGTCAAGAGCCCCTGGCAGACGGGTAGAATAGCAACCACTTTCAGCTGTTTGAGAAAGGAAGTTGAACAGACCTTCTTCCTTTTCCAGACATTAGGGGATGGAGGAGATGGAACAGTTCACATTGAACAGTTGCAGTTTGGGATGTTTGTAAGCTAGAACCTGAGGAAAGAGATGGTGCTCGAGTAATTGCAAGAGGTCAAACTCAAGTAGGAAGGCCAGCACCCTTCTCCCTCTACCACATGCATTCCTGCCAGGAGCTGAGCTTCTCATTAAGGCCCTTCCCAGGCTTCTTCTGGTAGAGTGCATGTCTTTATTTCTCGTGGCCTTTGTTGCTAAGTTTAGTCCTCAGGCTAGTACATGCCTGAATTTCTTTTTGTTAAGAGTTGCTTTCAGCTGAAACTCATTTTAGGCCAAGGAACAGGGTGGGAGGAGGGATTCCAATTAAAGCTGTTTTTTTAGGATTGAAGCTACAAATTGGGAGTGGGGCCCATCCACAATTAAACCAGAAACTGGCTACTTCTACAAGGTTGTTTAGCTTTGTAGTGCCATTGTGTCTTACCAGGGCACTGAAGATACCTTTGAGGTTCCTGGTTGGGGTGTCCTTCAAGGCATCTGAGATGTATTTGCAGATGAGTGAGCAGTACTCTGGGTCGATTTCTCTGCAGGCAGTGGAGAGATGACAAGCTGTGCATTGGACAACAGCCTAACTAACATCCAGTGGCTGGGAAGGATGAGCTGTGATGGCCTGAGTCCTTCCACTGTGAAACAAGAGCTGGAGAAAGAGAACCAGACCCCTGTACAGGTGGAGGGAATCAAGGTAAGAAGCACTCTAGGGATGAAAGGAGTTAGAGCATAAGATAGAGGAACCTCTGGAGAGGGGAGGAGATGGGACACATGGGTGAGAAACCTTGGAGAGGACAGACATAATACAAGCCTTTTCCCCATGGAAGAAGGGTGGTTAAACTGGTGAAAAGAAACCTGAGGGGGAATTTGATAACAATCTTCAAATACAAAGAATAAGTTGCTTATAAAGAAGACGAAGACTATCTGCTGGGAACAGCACAATAAGTAGTGGTCTTCAATTACAAGATGGGAAATCTAGGTTAGAAAGTTCATCCTAATAACCAATCTGTGTAAGTTAAACTCTGGAAAAGATTATTTGAAAAGATTTTGGAATCTCCTTCACTGGAAGCTTTTAAGCATGTTAAACAAATACTTGGATGAGGCATTTTAGATGGGAATGCTCCTATCTTGAACAAGGGTTTAGACTAGATGACCTCCTGTAGTCCCTTCCAGCTCTGTTTTTCTGCAATTCTATGTGGAGCTGTGCAGCAGGCTCCAAACTCCTTAAAACTTGCAACTCTCACTGTGTCCTTTTCTCTCCTAGATAGAGGAGGATTCTAGTGCTGTTGCTTCAACCTCCACTTCCTCATGGCAGGACTCAATATCAGAACGGCCCCCCTATTCTTACATGGCCATGATCCAGTTTGCTATCAACAGCACTGAGAAGAAACGTATGACCCTGAAGGATATATACACTTGGATTGAGGATCACTTCCCTTACTTCAAGCATGTGGCCAAGCCAGGCTGGAAGGTAATATACTGTCCAGCAGACAAGCCCGCTTGTGCGGGTGAGGTCAGATAACAGGGTGACTGTAGTGGGACTACTGGATGCAAATAGAAAAATAATTACCCAGTCAAAGAAAGCATCAACCTGTGAAACAGGATAGAAAATAGTTTTATAAAGTGCCACCTTCTATTCCTGACATTCACTTTTCCATTTCAACCTCTCCACCATTCTCTTTCCTGCTCTAGCCAGGCAGGGGAGAGGATAACTGATCACTAGGCTGGGAGCTGGGCTCCTAAAAGTGAGGGGAGCAAGCAGCTTTTGTGATTAAGAAGACCGAGCATATGGTAAATAAATTGGATCAAAGTCTGCCATAGGCAGAGCTTTGCTCCCTGGACTGTAGCATCTGAGGATCTTAGTTGCACTCTGTAATCAAAAACCCTAAGATGTCTTGTATCTTTCCAGAATTCTATCCGACACAACCTATCCCTTCATGACATGTTTGTCCGTGAGACGTCTGCTAATGGTAAAATCTCCTTCTGGACTATACACCCTGATGCCAATCGCTATCTCACGTTGGACCAGGTGTTTAAGGTGAGTGCCTCCTGTGAAGGGAACAGGATGGCTTTCCTGATTCCTGAACTCCAGGATGTTTGGCTGCAGTTGACTTTAGAGGGGAGGTGAAGTTGCCTTGACGTATGGCCTGTGTTTTTAGAGCTTCAACTGAGTCATTTAACTTGAGAAATTGTGGGTTCCTTATTTGAAGTAGGAGGCATTTTGTTTTGGTCAGGAGTGACGTGCTGGAGCATGTTGGGAACAAAGCTCCACTGGGCACTGTGCCAGCCTTGGCATATGAATCCTGAAGGAGGTCAAACTATTGGCCATACACTTTCTGAGAGCCAGAGGCAAGTTCTCAGTGCAGACTTGCATTACCTACAGTGGGACTTGAACCATTTCTTCCTGCAGTTCCTAATTCTGACTGGGGGCAGGGGCAGAATTTCCTTCTGTCTGGGAGCTATAGAACAGCATCATCCTGTGAAAGAAATGGAGAGAGCCTCCCTCTTATAATGCTATCTCAGAATAGGTGTGGTGAATCCTTCCCCTGTTCTATGTGGTGGATGTGCATGTTCAGTGGGTAGTTGTTCAAACATGAGACCTTTGTGCCAGGTTAAATGTCCTAGTTGTTTTCCCCCTTTGGTTGGTAACATCCTCTTATTTTTCTCCTTCCCGATGCCTTGCTGCTACCAGCCACTGGATGCGGGGTCACCAACGTCGCCTGAGCGCTCTGAATCAGTAAGACTTCCCCTCTGGCTCGGGGCTTGAGCTGCTTTACCTCCTGCCAGTCATTGCAGAAAAAGGACAGGATAGTTGGGGAGGGGGAACGGGTCACCTTTCATGAGGACAGGAGGCATGCCTACAGCCTGGCATAACTAAGGACGAGTTTTCTAACTGCCTGCAGAAAATGCAGACCTGATAATTGTGGATGCAAGTTTGCAGCAGCCTGGGCATCTCTCTGGGGACTTCTTGGAACTTACAGCTGAAGAACTGACCTGAAGTTCATCTCCAGAGAACACAGCCTAGCCACCAGTTCCAGGAACAAACCTGGTCTCCCTAGTTACTAGCTTTACTCCTTTCTGGGGTGCAGCTCCAGGAAGAGTAAAATCTGTGTGTTCCCTTTCTTCTGAATCCTGGTAGCAGTCTGGCACTTATCAGCAAGCTTCCATCCTGCCAACTCCTTCCAGTAGCTTAATGATATTGGATGTGCAGGAAGCTAGCTGGACACGCCCCCATCTTCTTTCCAAACCTATTCTTCTTTTCACCTGCTTTAAAAACTAAGTCCTCTTTCCCTCTGCTATTCCACTTAAGCATTTGGGGCTGCAGTTTGTCCAAAACACGCAATAAAGCTGTGCTCTTCACCTTTCCTCCAGCAGTAAGGACACACTGGAACCAGGTCATTCCACAGCCAGCGAAACTGTCATGCCAGATCTCTTTTTCTACAAGACTTTTTTTGAGTGGCAACTGGCTGAGAGATGGAATGGCCATGCAACAGCAGGTGGCACAGAAACAGCCATCAGCATGATCACTGAGTGGTAACAGCTGTTCTCTCTGCATTAGCTTAGGACAGGCCTCTGGATCCACATTCCTGAGTGAGACAATTTGAATAAAAATGGGTTCTTCCTCCCTAACTCTCCTTTTTCCCCTCTTTTTCCCACAACGACCATAGCAGCAAAAGCGACACATTTCTGAACTCCAGAAGACTCTGGGAGGCAGCAGCTGCAGCAAAACTGAAGCACAGAATGCGCGTGAGTGTGCATCTGTCTAAGCCAGAGAAAAAGTCAGGGCTCTAACTTGCATGATGGGTACTTTGAATGTAAGCTGTCATTCCTAGCCCAAAAACAAACTGCTGTTCAGCTTGGCGTGCTTGCTGGCTTCCCATGGCCCTTCCTGTCTGACAGATTTGGAGCTGAGGGCTGTGCTGCCACATCTGAGAGAGCCAATGTCTTGAGACGGGGAGTAATAGGTGCTCAGAGTGAGCAGGAGTTGAGCCCAGGGTGTGCTGAGAGGCCTGCTGGGGTTCAGTTTGTGCTTGTTCACCAGGGCTTCTGGGTTTAAGCTTAGGACATTATAGCCCCAACCTCTGAGCAGAAAAGGTAGGGAGAGGGTGAGCCTCATCTCTCTGCAATTGGTTATTTTCTAGCATGAGGGATTGAGGTTGGTTCTGTCTCCCTAGTTTTTTGCCTGGGCCTCTGGAGGTGACAAGCCTTCTTCCAGCAAGATGCCAGCTGACCCTTTCTTGACCCTTTCCAGGCCGAAAGATGAAGCCGTTGCTTCCTCGTGTCAACTCTTATCTGGTTCCCATCCAGTTCCCTGTAAGCCAGCCTCTTGTTCTGCAGTCCTCTGTGAAAGTACCTCTGTCTGTGGCCCAAGGAGCCTCCCTCAACAGCTCAGAGACAGGTCGGAGCAGCAAGCGTGTGCGCATTGCTCCCAAGGTTGGTGTTTGGTTAGCTTTGGTCTCCACATGGGCCCAGTTGTTCCTGCTTCCACCTTTTTGTGCCATCTATCCCTTGCACCCTTTCCCTGCTGTCAAACCTCGATGCTTGGGGAGTAGGGAGGACTGGTACTGGCCAGCACTTGGCTGTCTTCTCCCAGGGTGGCTATTAGCTACCTTGTCATAAGAACTCAGCTTACCCTTCACTTGGGGTGTGAACCAACAACTCCTTCAGTGTGCAGCCAGGATGAAGCAGACAGGTGTGAGAGCTTCTCCCTCTGCCCCCCCCCCCCCCC